TCAGTAATTAAAGTGTTCAACAAACTCTAAAAAGAAAATCCCTTCATACATGAAAGAGTTCAAGATAAATTGACTTATGTCAGACGTTTTGGCAAACCATATTTTTTTTGTTACATTTACTACAAATCCGAATTGGGCTGAGACTTTAGACAATCTTCTTCCTTGACAATCTGCAAGAGACAGGCATGATATTGTTGCTAGGATTTTTAAGCTGAAGGTCAACAAACTAATGGATCTCATCAATAAAGAAAAATATCTGAACCTGTAAAATATCATATGTATTCAATTGAGTGGGAAAAGAGGGGGCTGCTACATGTGCATTTACTTTTATGGCTAACGGAGAAGATCAATCAAAATCAATTAGATTCTATCATCAGTGCAGAACTGCGAAATGATAATGAAGATCCAGGGATTTTGAAATAGTAAAAAGACACATGATTCATGATCCATGTGGTCATTTGAATTTCAATTGTTCCTGCATGGCTGACAACAAATAAACAACAAGATTTTCAGGAAAATGTGTCAATCACACAATAATGGCTACCCAAGTTACAGAAGAAGAAATATTGAAGACGGAGCATTTAGCTTCAACCTTGAAAGAAATGGACAAAATATACTGGTAGACAACAAATTAATGTGAAATTTTGTAACAGTGTTAAGTTCATAAAGTATTTCTGCAAGTATACAAATAAGGAGAGTGACCAAGCTGTGATTGCTATTGACAACCACAATGAAGTAGAGAAATTACTCTCAGGAAGATATATTTCTGGCAATAAGGTTGCATGGAGAATTTTTTAATTTAACATTCACAACAGACACCAATCAGTTTAGCACTTGGGTGTTTATCTTGAAAATGGACAGCTGGCGTATTTTACTGAAGATAATGCTCAGGAACAGATTGAGCCTCCAAAAAACACCGGCACTCTTTAACCTATGCAATGTAGATGACTTTGCTAAAACAATTCTCTATTTTGAAGTGTTTAAATATTACATTCAAATCTGGTAAATTCATTCAACAGTACCTGCTATTAAATGTAGTGATGTACTTGGTCAGGTTTATAGAGTACATCCCCAAAATTCTGAATGTTTCTTTCTTCGATTCTTCAGGGATCGAAGATCATTTCAAAATTTAAATTTTATATATATATATATATATATATATAAAATTTGTATATATATATATATGTCATCGAACTCCTATGGATTTTTGCGATGGACCCCCATAATGATATATAACTGAAACTACATTACACGGGGTTTTTGGATAAGTATATTTCATTTTGATCAAAGAGAGTCCCTGGGGCAGAAAACCCCGCGGCTGATTTTTTTAAATATATATATATATATATATATATATATATATATATATATATTTAATTGATTGATTTAAAATATGGTTTTTTTTTCGCTACACAGTTCCAACCATGTTTCAAAAATAGAAGCTAAAAACCCCGAATTTAATTTTTGCAATTAAATTAAAAGCATTAGTTCCATTTCATCTTCAAGCGAATTTAAAAATATCTATAAGAACACCGGATTTTATATCTTACTGTTCTTTCTTTTTTTTTATATATATATATATATATATATATATATATATATATATATATATATATATATATATATATATTTATTTATTTTTATACAAATATGTTTTTGTTAGCAAATTTGTTTGAGAAAATCATGAGCAAAGCAGTTTTCTCTTAGAAAAAACAAAACCGAGATGATGACATTGTGGTAATGTCAAAAGTACTCGAAATAAAATGAATATGCAGCAATATTGTAATTTTGTTCTTCCTTTAATAAATTTACTAAGAAACTCGTATATATATATTAAAAAAGAGAGACATCACAAAACTTTTTGGTTATAATGTGGATTTGTTTTAGTATATATATTTATTCTTCATATTTCTGCTACACGAGTTTCTGGTCTCGTGACCTTCTTCAGGTAAATAAAAGGAGTAAATTTTTCCGTATGTACATGTATATATGTATATACATATACAGATACATATACATATATGTGTACACTGATTCCTTATTATAAAACGGGATGTATATTTGAGGAGGGAATATACATATGCATGCTAACAGGAACACGCACGCAAACAGGGATAGTAAAATAACTCTCATCAACACATCTATCATCACCACCTCTCATACCAAACCTAATGGTTTTATTAACACTTAGGCAGAAATTCACTTTTGCCAACAGTCCAGAAAGGAGTTCAAGACTCACTAATACATAAAAAGAACAATGAGACATTAAAAGAACATAAGGAAAATATATTCCTTTTAAAAATTTATTCCTTTTATTTACCTGAAAAAGATCAAAGGCCAAAAACAAGTGTAGCAGAAATCTCTATAATATATATACTAAAACAAATCTTAAAACAACTATAACCTTTTCCATATATATATATATATATATATATATATATATATATATATATATTATAAATTAATTGATTTAAAATATGGTTATTTTTAACTACATTTCAACCATGTTTCAAAAAAATAGAAGCTAAAAACCCTAATTTTATTTTTGCAAATAAATTAAAAGCATTAGTTCTATTTCATCTTCAAGCGAATTTTGGAAAACTTTTAAATTTACCGGGTTTAAATACAGCTAAAATCACGTTTCCATGGTTACAGAATATTCAAATTGAACACGGGGTGTCTAGATTTTCCTTATGACAGTATCATTGTAATTAGCTAATTTGGTAAGGGGTGAGGGATGTATTTTACACTAAACCTGACGTCGGTTGAATGGATGTCGTCTGAATTTAAAAAAAAAAAAAAAAAAAATTGTTAACGGTAAAAATTTTCAACGTCATCTTTTATTAAAGATTTTTTTTTTTTTTTGAATTTAACTACGATTTGAAATATTTTCCTTTTAATTTTATTTTACTATATTCTTTTTAAGAACAGTTAAATATTTAGAATCCATTATAAAAATTTTTTAACATTTTTATTATGTATATGAGGTTACACATTTTTTTTTTTTTTTTTTTTTTTTGTATATGACTATGACAGCAGAAATGGTTAAATTTCACTGATTCAGTAAACTTTTCTTTTTATATATAAACCTATTATTATAATATTTCACATAAGTACTACATGGGTCAAATTTTACTATGTTATTTTTATATTCTTTTTTAATGCGTAAATTCAATTTAACTACAATTTTAATTAAAAATATACATTGTTTAGTTTTTAATAGAATAAATTATAACAGAAGGAAAATTATAAGATTATTTTTCCATATCAAAGTATATGTTTATTTATTTATTTATTTATTTATTTATTTATTTTTTTTTTTTTTTTTTTTTTTTTTAAATTTAAATATTATTTAAGTAATATTAATGGCACTTACTACAAAAACTAGCTAAGTCATTTCTCAGATTTATAAACTTTATTTATTTATTAATTAATTAATTTATTTATTTCAAATATATGTAACCTAATTATAAAGTTTCATATGTATGTATAAATAACTCTGAAAAATAACCATATTTTAAATCAATTAATTTATAATATTAATGCTCTGTAAATTTACATTGAGCACTATTTTGTAAAATAAAATATCTATAAGAACACCCGGATTTTATATCTTACTGTTCTTTCTTTTTATTTATATACATATATATATATATATATATATATATATATATATATATATAATAGCTAATATTAGTGGTAAATATACACATACATGTATATATTTTACATGTATATTTTTTGAATAAAAAAATTCCAAGAGGATAGAATCCAGGTAGAACTCAATGTCCAGGACAGAGTAAGTATATAATAAAAATATGTTTATATTTGATTGATTATATGTTTATATTTGATTGTATGTTTATTTGATTATATGTTTATATTTGATTGATTATATGTTTATATTTGATTTGTAACCAGTAGTCGGTATTAATTTTGTCAATTTTTTTTTAATTACACAGCGGTCCTTTCAGTAAATGCCTTTCAGTTTTAGTTTCCCCCGCCCCATCTCTCTCCCCCACCCCTTTTTCTTTTCTTTTCCTCTCCCTCCCTCTTATTCTGATCTTTAACATTAGATCGTCTATGGTGTGCGTATGTCACCACGAAATGTATCTTTAATGTATTAGACATCCGACAACATTCATATTTCTCTCACTTAAACCTCTTTCACTCACCTCTCTAAAACTTCTCTCTGTTAAGGTTAATCTCCCAACTTCTCGCGTCTGTTACTCCTCTCTTTAGCTCTAACATTCGTCCCACACTCTCATACTTACACTCCCTCTAAATTCTATTTTTATTTCCGGAGTTGTTTTTTCTGTTTTCTTTTTGAATTTGTAGGCCTGATGAATTGGATCGTATTTAGGATTCCAATGGAATAAATTATGACCATGGAATATTAGTGTTTAAGCCTTTTTTATTATATATATATATATTATATATATATATATATATATATATATATATATATATCGTCGTGCAGTAATGGTAAGCGGATGATCACTATTACTGAATAATGAGTTCGATTCGCACTGGGTGCGTCGTACACTATGTCTTAGATAAGCTTAAGCTTTCTGATCTCATGCATTATTAAAGGCGAGTGCATTTAACTCAAATCACGCTATGCTTGCTAAATTAATAAAAAATAAATATTGACTTTAATGACCTTTTGTGTACTCCGCAGCCGGAAAATGAACTCGCCGTTTCTGACTTGTAAGTTTTGATTAATTGATTTTTAACGACTTATCATCCTTTTACAGAATATTTAAAGCCAAAAAATACTTTTAGACTGAAAGATTTTTTTTTTTGACAGGGAGATAATAATGGCTTAGTAATTCAAGTCTTACTAATTAATCCGTAGCTGGGGGGAAGCGGTGGATTCATATCTTTCCCAAAGGTATTTGCGCGTAAGTAAATATAATGAACCCAATTGGAATTAGAACTCTGCTATCCGATTAACAATTCCGAGCCATTATCAATTACGCCACCCGCACATCCAAGCTTTACAACACCTGGTATTCCTAAGCGGCTACCCATCTAAGTACTGACCAGGCTCGACATTGCTTAACTTTAGTGATCGTATGGACAACGTAATGTGGCGGGCTCGGGTTAATGGGGTTTATTTTATTTTATATTATATCATCACTTCAGTGGGTTATTTAATACCGATAAAATTTTTAGGATAGGTTCGTATGAATAGAATATGTATTCTTTTAAGAAATCAGTTTGTAGATCAGGTTTCATTGATGTATTTTTGTAAAGAGGGTTTTTGTCGAGAGTCAAATATATTGCTGGTAATATTTTTTATTTATAAAAATGTACCTGTTTTTATACTTTCATAGTATTTTGACACCAGTTTTGGGGTTAATTATTTGCCCATAGCTGGGACACTTAACAGGTTGTACTACCCCGGTGATATGACGGTAAGACAAGATTTGTAAGACGAGCACAAACGTCATGAACGGTAAAAGAGAAAAGAAAACGTCTATTTGCTTACTAGCTTAGAAAAGCAATTGAAGGAACGGCAATGTTTTCACCTTGAAACGAGATTTCCTGATAAGTCAGAATGAAAAAAAGAACATTTCTAGATTGGAATTTAGAAGGAAAGCGATAAGCTGTCGTCTGGTTATTGATTTGCACATTAAACGAATAAATATATCATAAGACTTTTTCAGAATGTGTTTTGTAACGACATTATTCAAAAAAGTAAACGGAAATAATATAACTCCGAAAAATATTGCTTCTAGTGGGTGAATAAAGCCTCCATATATACTGAGCGTGGAAACAATTTAGTTAGTGGGTTATTAAATCCTACATATAAACTGAGCGAATTTTCAAGCGGGTCAATGAATCGTTCATATACACACAGCGTGGAAACGATTTATCTAGTGGGCGAATAAAGCCTGCATATAGACTGTGCGTGGAAACGATCAATCTAGTGAGGAATAAAAGTGAGCGTGGAAATGATCTATCTACTTGGACAATAAAGCCTACATATAGACTGAGCGGGGAAATGTAGTGGGTGATTAAACCTTACATATTAGACTCAGAGGGGAAACGATCTATCTAGTGGGGGAATAAAGCTAACATATGGACTGAGTATAGAAATGCTCGAGCTATCGTTTTTTACGACTTATCAACCCTTTGCAGGTTATTTAAAGCCAGAAAATATTTTTAGATTGAAAGTTTGTTTTATGGTGATAATAATGGATTAGTGAGACAAGTCTTACTAAGTGAGCTATTGCTGGGAAGGAACGGCAGATTCATAGATTTCCTAGGGTATCTGCACGTAGATGAATATAACGAACCCAACTGACCATGGAAACAATCTAATTAGTGTTTGAAATGCTATGCCTTGTGGAATGATAAAGCATACACATAAGCTATCTTTTGTCTCTAAATGTAGAGACGATATATAGTTTATATTTTAAACACCGAAATATTGAAGCATAATAAAGATATAATTTATATATTGTTAATCTCAACTTAGCAGGTATCAAAAACATTTCAAGTTTTAATAATGTTTACATTTTCAAGATGTATAGCAATAATATGAATATCATCAGTTTTAATATACGTTTTAGCTGAAAGAAACAAGCTTTTGTAAAAATACGAAATTAAGAAACAAGGATAGCAATGTTATTTTCGAGACAATCTAGTAACAGAATATGAAATAGATTACGATTAATCCTAAAACTTCATAAAAACAGAAAAAAGAGTGTCTTCTATAAATTAAAAAAGTATTAGGCGATAGGAAAATGTCCTTAGAAGGAGTTGTAAACTGCTATATCATATCTAATCTCTTATATGGCAGGGAATGTTGGATAATCTCCTCATACCTTCCAAAATCTAAGCCAGGTATTAAGAGATAGGAAAAGATCGTTAGAAAAAAAAAAGAAAAGAGTGCTGAACTGCTATGTAATATCTAATCTCCTATACGGCAGTGAATGCTGGACATTCTCCTCATGTCTTTCAGAAACTAAGCAGAGTATTAAGAGATAGGAAAAGGTCGTTAGAAACAAATAAAAGAGTGTTGAACTGCTATGTAATATCTAATCTCCTATACGTCAGTGGATGCTGGACATTCTTCTCATGCCTTTCAGAAACTAAGCTGAGTATTAAGAGATAGGAAAAGGTCGTTAGAAACAAATAAAAGAGTGTTGAACTGCTATGTTTTATCTAATCTCCTATACGTCAGTGGATGCTGGACATTCTTCTCATGCCTTTCAGAAACTAAACAGAGTATTAAGAGAGAGGAAAACGTCGTTAGAAACAAAGAAAAAAGTACTGAATTGCTATTTAATAGCTAATTTTGCACCAATCTTTTGTATTTTCTATTTTTTATAACCAAGGGAGTTTGAGAAATAATTTGACACCCAGGACAGTGAACATAAATCTTGTATCGCGATAGTGACGTATTTGGAATCAAGTCAGTTAAGCAAACAGCAAGTTTAATCGATAGCAAAAATCGTAACTTTCTGGTCGCTTTACATCTGTATTTGGAAGCAGAAATGTCTACACTGCATATGAAATATGAATAAAGAAAGAAAAGGAAAAAAAATGAGTGAGAATGTGTAACGTTCGACGACATTTGGTTACTTTTTCTTCCTCTTCTTCTTCTTCTTTTATGTGCCGGGTCCATTCAAGGCATAGGCGATCATGACTCTCCACAACATCTCGTGGGGTTCGGCAGTTTTTCTCTCTTTGCTAAGACCCTCTCTCTCTGTTCCGTTATCCAATCACACAAGCTTGCCAGGTAAGTGGCTCTCCTGTGAGTGTTAAGTTTTCCAAACCCTTTCTCCTTGTTATGTGTCTAAGGAATTTCCGCTGCTTCTTTCTGATTCTGAGTATAAGTCTCCTTTCTGTTGCCATTTTCTTTAAGACTTCTTCGTTGCTTACTCTCTCCCTCCGTGGAATTCTCAGTATCCTTCTGTAGGCTCACATTTCTATTGATTCTAATTTTTTTGCTCATCCGTAGTAAAATTGTTCAACAATCAATGCTATATAAACGGATGAATATCACATAACAGTGCAGCACTCTTTTCTTTGTTTCTAATGAATTTTCCCATTTCTTGATACCTTGCTTAGTTTTTGGAGTGCCTCTCACGCTAGTCCAATATGCGTTCAGATTTCAATGTCGCATTTTTTATCCTCTGTTAAAAGGGTTCCCAGATGTTCGAACTTCTGCACCTGCTTGATGTTTATATCTCCAATTCGTAGCTTGGATCTTAGGCTTTTTTCTCTTGCTGTTGTCCATATTTTCTGTCTTCTTGCAGTTAGTCCTTTTTTCACGCTTTCTTCTACCACCCTGTCCAAGAGGTCCTGCACTGTAGAATAAAGTAGACTGTTGCTTCAGCTTTCCTTTCACGTGAAACATACAGTGCTGTTCGATAAAAGTGACTCAACTGATTTTTTTTACTTAAAACCTTTTCGCCTATTGTTTTGGGGGTCAAACTAATTATTAATCTTACTAATATAAAGACCCCTTCCCGACCACCTAGTAAAAAAATTTACTCACCCTAAGGTATTCTATTGATAATTATAATTGTCGATATAAATGAGATTTAGGGAAAAAACTCTGTGCAAAAAAAGTGACTCACTTATTTCCTGCAACTTGTAATCAATAGAAACATAACCAAACAGCTTTAAATAAAGAATAATAGAGGTATAATTTATTTATAATAGGTAATATAGTTCGAAATATTTAATAATCTATGGGTCCTCCTTTATTTTGAATAACCTTTTCAACCCTTTTTGGCATTGACTTGATTAGGTTCTGGCAAATCTCATCTCCAAGCATTGAATTCCATTCGGATATGAAATTCACAATCAAATCCTCTTTGTTGCTCAACTGCTTTCTCGAGAGTCTGTACTTTATAATGCTCCGTAAGTTTTCTATGGGGATGAGGTCAGGAGATTGGGGCGGCCATGTCCACCGCACTCACCTGCTTCTCATCAAAGTATTCCTTCATCAATTTTGATTTGTGACAGGGAGCATTATCCTGCATAAAAATGAGCTTGGTGGGGTCGATTTGCACCCTTTCAGCAGAAGGGAGCAGACAAGACTCTTGTACTGCTCGCCCCTGAGGGTCTTTTCAATAGGTTTTAAGAAACCAGTTCCATGAAAAGAAAAGCATCCCCAGAACATTATACTGAACGGATGCTTGACAGTACTTACTGCTAAATTCAAAGAGCTTTCAAAGCTTCTTCTTCGGATTTTAGATCGCTTATCCTTTGAATTTAGCTCAACTTTCGTTTCATCGGAGAAGAGAACATTTAGTAAAAAAAAATCAGGTGAGTCAGTTTTGTCGAATAGCACTGTACTATTATCTACCTACACTATCGCATATACGATTGCCTGCATTGTCTTATTGACTAAAGATCCTACACCGCTAAATACCTTTCTTTTTCTTTGTGCTGCGTCGATTCAGGACATACACGATCATGGCACTCCACAGCTTCCTATCATATATTTATATTTTCTCCGTTTGCTAAGGACCTCGTCCTCAGTTCCATCATCCATCCACCCATCCAAACTTACTGCCTTCCCTTATCTCTCAATACGACCCGTGTGTTTTAAGTTTTCCTGATTCTATGTATAAGTGTCCTTTCCGTTGGTATTTTCTTTAAGACTTCTTTGTTGCTTACTTGCTCCATCCGTGGAATTCTCAGTAGCCTTCTGTAGAAGCGCATTTCTACTGCTTCTACTGTTTTTCTCATCCGTGGGGAAATCGTCCAGCATTCACTGCCATATTTTTTTAATCCCATTCTTACCATACAAGGCAGTAAAGCCACTAAGACACAAGCGTTTACTGAATACAGTACAATGTTCCCCTCGAATTCGAATTCAGAATTTAATTCTTTTCGACTGCCACAGGTGAGAGAGTCCAATTTATTATGCTATTTAACCCATAGTTAGGGAGAATAAGAGACACGTTCTCGCCTTCCCTATTGCTATCAGTGTGGAAGGAAACGCAAAATACTAGGACAACGTCAGAGATTAAATCTGGAAGCCTCATGATAGAAAAATGATTGTTATGCTGGTCTCCGAATCCATTATTACCATCGCGTGTGTCGTGCATCTA